AGGCATTTTCCAGGTCACTAGGATTAGCATATACCCGGACAGTGGCGGAGCTAAGGAACAAAGGCCCCTGGTGCAAGATTTTTTTTTGGGCCCCCCCCCCAAAAAAAAACAACCCACAAACACAGCGCTCTCCTCCCGTAGCGCTCGTGCCCTGGTGCGTCCGCACTGCCTGCACCGGCGGTAGTTCCGCCACTGTACCCGGACTAACCCATCTCTTACAAGGTCTAAAAGTGAAAAATTCACAGTAAACTCTCGGGCCCTACCCATGGCCTGGCGCAATTGTGGATCATGTAACCCATGATCCACAATTGCGCTCCCATAGCCACTGCTTCCTTGCCTGACAAAAGAACACTGTCCGCCCCATCATCCCACAAACATAGGAGCCAACTTAATAGGGGTTCCCCGGACCTCTGCTTGTATTGTTTTGCCAGTTCTTGGAGTTCAGTTTGTGTAAACTCCCTTAATTCTTCGATTTCAACATCTCTGGGGTTGCTGTAATGCACCTCCCCATCAGCAAAATCTTCCCTATCATGTTGCCTCTTCCTATGCTTAGTAATAAGAGGTCTGGTACACTTTTTCTTTCCCATTGAGTGATCAACATCATCAGTAATATCAAATGCAATCTCCTCATCCTCACTATCACCTGAGGAGAGTGCATCCTCACGATCCCAGTTATGGGATGTAACAATGGCACGCACCCTGGCTTTGCTAACAGGTCTACGGCCTTTCTTTTTCCCTAAGGCATTAATTGATTTGGTCATGAGGGCTGCACACCGCTCTTCCAAATAATCGGCCTGACTAGCAGTTGAACGTACACACTCCAAGACAACTGCTAGGTGGTCTTTTAACGCCTTAACCTCTGCCTCTGCTTTCTCCCTTCTTTCTGTTTCAGTAGAGAGAGCATTAAGGAAGTACCAGCCAAGTAAGGACACTGCTTTCTTCTCTGCTTTGCTCAAACAGAATTTATCAAAGGTAAAATTTGCTAAATCATCTGAAATTTTACCACTCCATGACTTACTAAAAGGAGATGAATACTTAGCTAATTCTTTAGCAAAAGGCATCCACTGATTATCTCTGGCCCAAGCAGGCAGGTTGCACGCTCCCTCCTGGACACCAGAAACATCTGCAGCCTTGCTGGCCCAAGCAGGCAGGTTGCACGCCTCCTCATGGACACCAGAAACATCTACAGTCTTGCTTTTCCTAAACAATTTACGCAGCATTTTCCCTAGCACAAGCAGAAAACACTACAGAAAACACAGGTCTTTTACAACTGGGTGTAGTACAAATCCTGGCCAACACGCCCCAACTTGGATCTAGTACAAAACCTAAAGACAAGTCTGTTTCAGTTGAGTCCACTGCAATCCCGGACCGGGCCCCAAATGTAATGCTCTGGACTACAAATCCCAGAGACATCAAGCTTATCCCAAATACGAGCCCAGCTGTAAAGCTTGGCAAAACTTTCATTTATATTTGTTGTCTGTTCTTGCAGTAAAGCTTCAAGGAAACTGACCCAGTAGCATTTAAAAGTCCTTTACTTGGCGAAAATGCTGCGTGTACAAACTTAGTTACAGGAAAAAACAAATACATAAACAAGACATACAGGCTGCTACACACAAACTATCACATGCACCCACTACACTATCCTTTCTAGTACATGTAATGCTTTCTAGGAGGAGAAACACTGAAAATGTACTTAGCTCCGGCTGCAGGCTCCACAAATTCCGTGATGAACAGGACTTCTTGGCCTAGTAAAATGGCTTCTCATTGCCGTCTCTGCTAAATCCTTTGTATGTCCTGTTCTTGAAGCAAGTCCTCTCGTCTTGTGAAGCCCCCTCGTACTGTCCCCCTCCTGTGAAGCCCTCGTCTTGTGAAGTGCCCCGAACCTTTCAGCTACTCGCTTTTTATTGAGAGAAAACTGGCCTCCCACTTGGAAGCTCCCTGCCCCTTTCACTTTTAGGAAAATGAAATACCATGCATTTCACTTTCCCACCTCTAGGTGGCAGCGTTGTATCATAAATTGCCATCAGTAGTCTAGATTTGATTTGAGTCTTGACCAGGCTAGGTGTGACTGTTTACGATCACCATGGGTAAACAATACAGGAAAGCCACACCATCTGGTCATTGTGTGACCAGCTCTCTGTCAATAAATAAACAAAATCTCCGTCTCTATTGCAAATCTATGTGTGTCTGAAAAAGTCCAATAAGATATATCGCAACACAGTGCTCCAAATACCATTGCCAACCCAGATATTACATTGTACAAGTAGTGGTGACATCATCACTGTGCTGCACATAACTTGTGCAGAGAGCAGAGGCCTGATAGGGACCCAGCAGGCCCTACCAAGTACAGGCTGCCAGCAGAAACCACAGGAAGGGGGCAGATACAAGACCAGTCGTCCTGCACAAGGAGAGAGAGAGATAGAGGCAGTGACCGGTCTGTATTACAGGAAACTCCTCCATAGCGGCAAAGCTGCATACAGAAACCACAGGAAGGGGACAGATACTAGACCAGTCACCCTACACAAGGAAATAGAGCAGCAGTGACTGGTCTTACTACAGGAGGCTCCTGCACAGAAACAATATTTGTTTATCCCAGAGATCAACTTTAAAGTAGTCTCTTATGCATCTGGAGAGGTGCTTTGAAATTAAGCCCCAACGTTACTCCAACTTTGGGACACATGCTTTACCCCTGTTGTCCTCCTATCCAATGATAAAGCCATTATTTGCATGTGAGGTGCTGCAATGAGAGAGATAGAACAGTGGCAGGAAAATCTGTTTGCCAATAGTTTGTAAGAATGGAATTTTTTATTGGCTCCATTGGTGTCAATATATGATTCGATTGGACCTCTTACTTTGGGCTAAGAGAGTGCAGTGATTCCTCCACAGGAAGCCTCCATTTCAATGAAGCTTTGGCTATCCACCCTCCCTGTTGCCCTCCTATCATCACCATTGTTAACAGAATCTATCTTATATAGGTGGCAGGGGATATAGGGTGAGAATTGCTCCTACCAGTAATGTGCCTGCCTTAAAAAAGATATACTAGAATACTATTAGGTCCTGTGGTATCTCAAGTGAAAAATAAGGAAAATTCTCCCCACAGAGGAATTCTGGCTGTTACACTTGTTTTGAGTAGTCTTCTACCTTTAATGATCTTCACCATGTGAAGAAGGATGGTATAAAGTAGAGTTTATTGCATAGCAAATGTGTTATTTTCAATCGGACCTGATTCTCACACTTGCGCTGAGAGATAGAGGAGCGCATTCTGTGTGCAGTACTATTAGCAGTTTGATTAGGAGTTTCCTCCTCCAAACTGCCTGTTTTGTCTAGAAGATAACAAAATAATTTACTTACCTTATTCCTTGCTCCCCCAGCAGGTGGTGCTCGCCTTCATTGTCCATTGCTCCCAGGATGTGAGCAGGCCCTCAGCATCCTCACATATATCAGGACCACTGGTCCTGCATTGTACATGATGACATTGGAGAGCTGCAGCTGACTCGGAAAAAAAATAAATGGAGGAGCTACATGACTGTGGGGAGGAATAATCCCCAGTAAAAGATTAAACATTAGAGAAAGTAGCAGGCCTTACCTAATTGGAGATTGAGGGTCAGGTGGTAGGGAGGAGCCACAGGGGTAGGCTCTTTGAGGCTGCTGAGAGTTCTTTCTGAAAAATCGACAATTTAAGAAGGTTGTCCCACCCACCCTCCTTTGTTCACTGCTGTTGACAGATTGAGATCTATATGCGATTGTCATATCAGCCTAGCGGGGTAGGGTGTCTGTGGATCTGCAAAAAAGGTGACTCGGTTTCAAAGCGGGTTGGCCCATCTGGTGGTAGGGTGCTCCCCCCTGTTGGTGTCTTTTATTTTGGAGCTGTCCTTGAACCAGTGGGGATGCAACTGGGAGCATGGGTGGTTCTTAGTAAAGCCTTATTTTAGTTGAAGGATAATAAATACCTCTACTCGTAACCAACAGGTTTTGGGTTATTCATTTGAAAATATTTATTTTGGTTATTCTGATTGGTAACTGTTATTTGTTGTATAAAGGGCTGCTGTGGCCATTTTAAATCCATGTCACGCAGTCCATGTGTTTATTGGGGTGTTTAACTGAGGGGACAGAATTAACGAGTCAATCAGTCATGTATAAGGACCTGCTCATGCATTCTGAAGAAGATTGAGAACAGGCAGGTCAGTTTGTTTTATTGCAGAGGTATAACATGTCTCTTCTGCACCGATTAAAGAGCCTGCTTGCGCTCAGTTGTTAAAATGATATTGAAGTCAAAATATGTTTAAGCTATTTCAAATGCTGATGAAATAATTTGCAATGGATGTTGCTTCTTCAGTACTCTACATGATGTTCAAGGAAGCAGAACTGAGAGAGCTGGAGCTGTTCGGAAACATGATGACTGTAATTGCTTGGGCAAAAAATGCAAAGAAATACTTTGCTAGTGAAAGTAGATTTGTTTGATCTGGATATATTATTGAAAAAAGTCTGAAAGATTAATATTACTTTAACTTTTAAAGTTTAGTTTTATAGTGTTAACACTAATTGATACAATAATTATCATTTTAAAAAATGTGGAAAACCTAAAAGTTTGCAGTGTTTTCTTTTATAACAGTTTTACTATATAAAGAGATAAATATTTAAAAAGATGGAAAACACTGAATGTAGAGTCTTAGTACAGCTTCTCCAACAATCCCCATGATAGACTTTTGCATATAAAGTTTTATGTCATGTTCCCCTCTGTTCTAGCAATGGTTAAATGGAACTGACACCCTTTCCGCATCAGCTTATTATAACTAACTGTCAGCAGCCTAATCTCATGATTAGTCATGTGTCATGTGCTCACCAATTATCTCCTAAATGCTTGGACCACAGACAAGGCCAATTCTACCACACAAAGGCACGTTACAGAGTGCCTGCCCACTGGCTTGCGAAAACCTCTTTGCAAACACTTGGCAAAATGTAAAAGTTGACTGTGCAACCCACAGAAGAGGAAGAAGGAACTGTACATAGACGTTAACTACTGGCCGAAGCCTGAGTCCCAGCATCTGAATGGGAGCTGATAGATACACAATGAGGATTCAGACGTTCGCACTTTTTTTTCTTCTGTTATTGGGGGTTAAAGCTGTGATGCGGTAAGTAATGTATAATCTGTATACACCAATGCAATGACGCCATTATGTTATATTTGTTAGCAGATTTGCTAGCATTTTAAAGTAATTCATTAAAGCACTCTTGTGTTAAGTGTTCAATGTACAATATTGTCTCTCTATTGGACCTTGAAGAACAATGTAGGCACCTATTGTATTTATATTTTATTTAAATCTAGTTGTGTTCTAGTTTTTATCTCAGAAAAACAAGACACCTTTAATATGGCTTTATAGTCTAATGGTAAAGCAGAACTCTGGGGCCAATTTGTTCTTAACCCTTGCAGTGTGGCTACCCCCGCACTGCAGGGATTTAGTGCTTGTTTTTGTCAAGTGCTAAAAAAAAAAGTTATGCATACCTAATGCTCGGATCCGGCTTGCTCTTAGACCGGTCCCTGGAGCCTCTCTCCTCCTCCACTGCAGCGGTCTAAGGATCCTTGAGTCATCACTTTTTCTACACAGTGTATAGGACGTGAGAAAGGTGAGGGACATATCACCGCTCCAGTGGAGGAGGAGACAGGCTTCACGGACCAGAGTAGCAGCCAGCCGACTCTGCAGTTCATATGTGCATAACTTTTATTTTAAGCTCCTAGACAAAATATAGCACTAAAATGAAAACTATGGGCAAACCTTTTTTGACCGTAGTTCTCTTTAGGGTCACAGGAGGATATATATTAATGTCCTCCTGTGACCCAAAACTCAGCATATAGCGGGCTATTTCCCGCTATATGCTGACAGCACAGAGCCGCGCTGCAGCCAGGAGGGATCCTGACAATATTGTCAGGATCCATTCTGCTGACTGACTGACAGCTGTTTTTTCCTCTCTAGAGTTAATAGTATGCTAACACTTGCCCTGGGGCATGTAGGGACTAATAAAAGATCTGGAATACTTTGCCTATCCGTAAGAAACCACTGCTATCCACATGTTCCCTGTAAGCACATGTGCACTAAATGGCGCTGATTGACTCAGAATGGGGACCCTCCAAAACCAAAAATGTAATATATTGCAGCTTACCAATCCTTTAATGTGGTGGCTGCATTCATTTTCTTTTTATTTTTTAGCCTTTTTTTTTACCTTTTTTTTCAATATTAATCCAACTAGTATAACACTTTCTATCATAGGGTGGCTCCAATCAATGGAGGAGCAACAGATCCACCCTTGCAGAGAGCATTATCACCCTTTGGAGAGGGTAGTGTTAGATGTACTAGCAGATTTAGATGGACTTGACTAGCAAATTTAAGCTGAACTACAGCTATTGCTTTTTAACTGCCTCCGGGCCGGCCGTGGAGCTCTCTAGATCTGAGCGGGCGTCTTTAGACGTCCGCTCAGACACGCCGCCTTGCGCGCGCCGCCGGGCGCGCGCGAGCAGGAAATGGCCGCAATTTAAAAACGGGCAGCGATGCCCGTTAATATACATGCGATCCGCCGGCTGTAAAGCCGGCGGATCGCTTGTATTTAGCGACGATCGGTGCGCCCCCCCCTCCCTCTGCTG